TGGATTTATGAAGGATGAGGTTAATCATAGAATTGATGAAGAAAAAAAGGCGAGTGGTGCGTTGAGGTATATGTGGAGATAAAAAAACGTTATCTATGGAGGGAAAGAAGGGAGTGTATGAAAGTATAGCAGTACCAACACTCTTATATGGGTTCTGAAGCTTGGGTTGTAAATGCTGCAGCAAGGAGGTGGTTGGAGGCAATGGAGATGTCCTGTCTAAGGGCAATGTGTGGCGTGAACATTATGCAGAAAATTCGGAGTGTGGAAATTAGGAGAAGGTGTGGAGTTAATAAAAGTATTAGTCAGAGGGCTGAAGAGGGGTTGTTGAGGTGGTCTGGTCATTTAGAGAGAATGGATCAAAGTAGAATGACATGGAGAACGTATAAATCTGTAGGAGAAGGAAGGCAGGGTTGGGGTCGCCCTCAAAAAGGTTGGAGGGAGGGGATAAAGGAGGTTTTGTGGGCAAGAGTCTTGGACTTCCAGCAAGCGTGCATGAGCATCTTAGATAGGAGGGAATGGAGACAAATGGTATTTGGGACCTGACGAGCTGTTGGAGTGTGAACAGGGTAATGCTTAGTGAAGGGATTCAGAGAAACCGGTTATTTTTATATAGCTGGACTTGAGTCCTGGAAATGGGAAGTACGATGCCTGCACTTTAAAGGAGGGGTTTGGGATACTGGCAGTTTGGAGGGATATGTTGTGTATCTTTATACATATATGCTTCTAAACTGTTGTATTCTGAGCACCTCTGCAAAAACAGTGATTATGTGTGAGTGAGGTGAAAGTGTTGAATGATGATGAAAGTATTTTCTTAGTGGGGATTTTCTTTCTTTTTGGGTCATCCTGCCTCGGTGGGAGACGGCCGACTTGTTAAAAAAAAAAAAAAATGGTAGTCTCACCACCAAGGCAGGGTGGCATGAAAAAGAAAAACTTTCATCAACATTCACTCCATCACTGTCATTGCCAGAGGTGCACTTACACTACAATTATAAAACTGCAACATTAACATCCTTCCTTTAGATTGCAGACACTGTATGTACTTCCCATCTCCAGGACTCAAGTCCAGCCTGCCGGTTTCCCTGAATTTCTCCATAAATGTTACCTTGCTCACACTTCAACAGCACATCAAGTCCTAAAGCCATTTGGCTTCATTCACTATCAAATATGCTCATGCATGTTTGCTGGAAGTCCAAGCCCCTCACACACAAAACCTCCTTTACCCCCCTCCCTCCAACCTTTCCTAGGCCGACCCTTACCCCGATTTATACACTCCCAAAGTCATTCTATTTTGTTCCAGCCTCTCTACATGTCTGAACCACCTCAACAAACCCTCCTTAGCTTTCTGAATAACAGTTTTGGTAATCCCGCACCTCCTCCTAATTTCCAAACTACGAATTCTCTGCATTATATTCACACCACACATTGCCCTCAGACATATCTCCACTGCCTCCAGCCTTCTTGTTGTTGCAACATTCACCACCCATGCTTCACACCCATATAAGAGCACTGGTATAACTATACTCTCACACATTCTCTCTTTGCTTCCATGGATAAAGTTCTTTGTCTCCACAGACTCCTAAGTGCACCACTCACCTCTTTCCCCTCATCAATTCTATGATTCACGTCATCCTTTATAGACCCATCTGCTGACACATCCACTCCTAAATATCTAAATACAATCACCTCCCGCATACTCTTTCCCTCCAATCTGATATCCAATCTTTCGTCACTTAATTTTTTTATCCTCATCACCTTACTCTTTTCTATAATCACTTTCAATTTTCTTCTTTTACATGCCCTACCAAACACATCCACCAACCTCTGCAACTTCTCTTCAGAATCTCCCAAAAGCACAGTGTCATCAGCAAAAAGCAACTGTGACAACTCCCATTTTGTGTTAGATCCTTTATCTTTTAACCCCACACCTAAAGTCGGTTCCTGACCAGCCGGGCTGTGGCTCGTATCGTTGGTTTGCATGCAGCCAGCAGCAACAGCCTGGTTGATCAGGCTCTGATCCACCAGGAGGCCTGGTCACAGACTGGGCCGCAGGGGCGTTGACCCCCGGAACTCTCTCCAGGTAAACTCCAGGTAAACACCTCTTGCCAACACCCGACAGATGAACAAGGAGGCTTTAGAATGGGTAGGGGATGTGTAGACCAAGTGTTTACATTGAAACATATAAGTGAACAATATTTAAATAAAAGGATGGAAGTTTTCATAACATTTATGGATTTAGAAAGGCATATGATACAGTGGATAGGGGAGCAATATGGCAGATGCTGCAAAGTGTATGGGATAGGTAGTAAGTCACAAAATGTTATATAGAGTTTTTATGAGGATAATGAAGCTCAGGTTAGGGTATGTAGGAGAGAGGGTGATTACTTTCCATTAACAAGAGGCATTAGGTATGTGTGATGTCACCATAGTTAACATATTTATAGATGGGGTTGTAAAAGAAGGAAATGCTAGGGTGTTGGGGAGAGGTTGGGATTAAATTATACAGAATCAACTACAAAATGGGAGTTTACACAGTTACTTTTTGCTGATGATACTGTGCTTTTGGGAGATTCTGAAGAAAAGTGGCAAAAGTTAGTAGATGAGTTTGGGAGGGTGTGTAAAGAAAGTTGAA